TATAAAGTCCTCTGGGACCTGGGGGTGTAGCTCAGTAGCAGAATGCTTGCTGGCAAGACAAAACAAACAGCTGAAAAGAGTTCCTTTGAAATGTCCTAGTGCACGGAAAACAGAAAACCCTGGCCTATATTCACACCCCTCCAGTCCTTTGACAAGCCCTTGCAGGCCTCTGAGCTTGGATGGCTTACTTGCCAAGCCTCTTGGTCCTCTGCTGGCTGTAGGGTCTGCAGAAGCCACTCCTCCTGCCTGGCAGAGGCTGTTTCAAGCCCCCACCCTGTGCTCTGTGCCCCAGAAACTCGGCTCTGACACTTGCAGGAGACCCTGGCTTCCAGCCCCAGCAACAGAAAAACAAAAAAGCAAACTGGCAGGCGCTCATCTGCCCTCGGGAGCGGCTTTCCAGACAAATGCCTTATAGGGACACGAGTCCTTCCAAACTGCACAGTCATGCAATCAACACCAAGATTTACAAGGCCCCACTTAGGCTCTAAATGGAAACCTCTGTCCACTTGATCAATACCAGGGAGAAGAACCAAGGCTGCGAAAGGGACAGGAAGGCCGGGCTCAGGCGTCCTTTCTCCTGACCACAGCATGCTGCCACCCCAGTGACAACTGCAGTTGCCCTGACAGGACCAAGAAAGGTCTTTCACCTGGGAGTTGGTGCATGTGTGGCCATCTCTTCCCTCAGCAGTCCTGCTGGACTCGGTCGAGGAGCACAGCCAGGCAACACCACACACACACACACACACACACACACACACACACACACACAGAGTAAGCTCGCAGTCAGGGTAAAACACTGACTTTTAACTTAAAATTGGAGAAGGGGTTTCTAAACATGCCCACCTGGTTCTCATATGAGTGCATCCCAAAGAGCCAGTGCTGGGGACAGAATTCCCGACGCAGCTGTGTTCTTGGGAGCTGCAGCTTCACACACGGTGCCCAGATCTCTTTGTGAGTAGGGAAGGGCATTCTCTGGTGGGGCAGCTGACAGGAGAGAGCAGGGTTAGAAGTGGCTTTGGTCCTTCTTGCTCTTCTGCATTGTGCTCTGGGGATAGCAAATGCCCTTACCAGATGCCACTGCAGGGCTCCTTGGGTTCCCAGGCTCTAGAACTGACAGCCAATAAATTACACTGTTCAGTGGAATTACTCAGGCTTACGTTTTCTCTGTTGTGGGGTTGAGAGAGGGTCTTACTATGTAGTTCAGGCTGGACTCAGACTTACTACATTGACCAGGTTGGCCTCAAAGTCACTGTGATCTATCAGGTTAATAACCCTTAGTTACTGCAGACTGATCAGGTCAATCGAGTGGATGGTGAAGGCTAAATAAGAGACACATGGTATGACTTCAGGGCTCTGGGAGGATCAAAAAAAGTCTCACAGAATTCAAGATTGTCTCAGGGCTAAGACCAAGATCTTCTCTGGGAGGCCAGTATTTATTTAGTTATCAAAGCAAAGGAGAGGGTGGGAACTGCTCAAGGATTTCTCTAAGTAAGGCATTATGTTAATGTAGGAGGGGCTGGGGAGATAGCTCAGTTGAATAAGCACTTCCCTGGCAAGTGCAAGGGCCTGAGTTCAATCCTCGGTTGGGTGGTGGGGGAGTTATTGTAGGAGAGCTATGTTAATTCCAGGAAGGTCTCCACCTGGGAGTAAGATGCTTGAAGCTACAGGCTTTATCTAGGTGAGCTTGGAGCCCGATGTCCTCAGCTGTGACCTTGTCTTACCCTTTGAGGCATCACAGCTTCACCTGTCATTACAGGCTCACTTACTATGAGTCCCCTGCCCATCTCCAGACAAGGGGCCTAAGCCTTGGACAGACTCAAAGTGAACATGGAAGCCAGCTGGTCAATTTAAGTCCTGCTCAGAGCTGCTTCGTAGTGGTTTCTGTCAGTGATCCTCTGACCTTAGTCTTCCATGTTCTGGGATTACAGATGTGTGCCACCATGTCCGGCAGGTCTTGTTACAAGAAGCATGAGCCAGACACATCACCCGTGCAGAGCGGGCTGCTCCACACCCTGAGCAGGTCGTGTGTGGAGCCACAGCTTCTGGGTTGGGCCCTCCTTTTGCAAAGCAGCCACTTGCCCTTTGGAGTGCAAGCGCCTGGACAAAATAAACAGCTGCTTCTCTGCAAGCTGAGAACCACTGGATGTCAGCACAAAGGTGGGATTCATCTGAAAACTACTTCCAGTTTCCAGCTCAGTCATGAGATCGATTAGCTCCACCCCCACATCATCACCTGCAAATCTATCAAATTAAATCAACACAATGGGTGCAGAGAGAATCTAAGTGATATCAGGAAACCAGGCTACTGGACCAATTACCCAACTCCCGAGCCGGGGTTGTAGCAGAGGGAGGACACCTGTCTGAGGGTGACACAGGGCCACAAGGCTTTGTTATCCTTTTGGTCTTTTTTTTTGCAGAAGCAGGGATTGAACCCAGGCCCTTGCACTTGCCAGGGAAGTGCTTATTCCACTGAACTACCTCCTTGGCCTTGTTATCTCTTCAGACTGCCTGGTGGACACATTAGGAGACCTGCAGGCCAGGTGCTCTGGCTGTTCCCCATCTTGTCTTAGCCTGATCCCAGAGCTCTGCCTACTCTGGGACCTTGCATGGGTACCCAGGTGACCTGACCCTGGGTCCTCAGCCTGATGATGCTGATGTGATTGATCATGGCTCCTGAACTTACTGTTATCCAGTCAATCCTGACAATGGAGGGACACAAGCTGGTCTGGCCTGTGTGGCTGGTATTGCCTGCCTGCACCATGACCTGTCCTTGACTTTCAAAATAGATCCAAGAATGTACAAGTGTGAAGAGTTGTTGGGCGGACCCCATCCTGACCTGGTTCTCTGCAGGGTCCTTTCCCAGAGACATGGAGGCCAGGGTCCACTTCCTGCCCACTGGAAGCAGCTTTCCTCCAGGCAATCAGCGGCTGCACCGTTAGTCACCTGAGTTTACCCAAAATGCTGTCACCCCAGTGAGAATATCACCCATGCCTTTAGTGACCCCAAACTGGTTCTAAAAGCCAAAGCCATCCTGGAACAGTTCTGTGTACCTCGGGATACTCAGGAGCAAGCCTGGAGTTAATATAAAACTAAAACTTAAGTGTGTGTGTGTGTGTGTGTCTGTATGCACAATGTGTACGTATGCAATAGGCAGATATTCTACCAGGGCTACACCCCAGCACTGGTTAGTTTTTAAAACTGATCATGACACAAAATCATGCAGTAATTTTGTATGCAAATATAAATTTGATCCATTTAAATAAAATAGTAATTATACACTAAAACATCAAAAGTGAAGAAAAAGGCCTTGTCTATTAATTGTTTTTTTATTTTAATTTTATTTATTTATTTATTTGTGTGTGTGTGTGTGTGTGTGTGTGTGTGTGGCCAGCTCAGCCCACCAGGGGGCAGGGCTGGCTGGCATGTGGTGCTGGGGGATTGAACCGTGGTCCCTCTGATTTGCTGAGCTTGTTCTAAGTAGGTGCTTTAGACCACTGAGCCATCTCACCAGCCCCCTTGTCTATTAATTGTGCTCTTAATAAATAAGGATCTTCTAAACAACAAATGACCACACTTCTACAGAAGAATTGGGAGGAGATGCTTCAGAGAAGGTTAACAACTGGCTCACGGATTGTTCAAGATGGCTTAGATCACAGCGTACACAAACTACCAGTCACCAGCGGCAGGGGCCCCGAGAAGGGGCTGTGCAGGTGCAGGGAAGGCACTGGCCAAGCAGCTGGGGTCTGCAGCTAGAACGCCTCCCACTCCTACAGGGCCAGGAGGAGTGCTCCAGGTACCCCTGGCTGTGCAGACCCCAAGGGTCCCTGGTCTGTGCAGCTGCAGCACGCTTTTTACAATGTGCTATGACCACATGTAGACCTATTTTTAAAAGCAACTGCCTCCTTTATTATCAGAGACACTCAAGAGTGAAATGGCTTGCATATTGTGCTGGGCCCGAAAATATTCCATGACTTATTTGGTTCTCATTTGGGAAGCTTCCATTGCTGACTCCTTCAGATGTGAGGTCACTAAGCTTTAAATGGACCGAATCAATCCTCACTTTACCTCCTTTATGCATCTTTTTTTTTTTCTTTATGCATCTTTGATGCTTTGCCTCTGGAGTTCTCAGAATGGAGAAGATACTTGGTCTGGTGGAGGGACGGGGGAATGGTGGGGACTCCGGCCAGGTGAGGTCATGCAGTGTTGGGGAAGACACTTGTTATAGCCTCGAGGTGGAAGCTTCCAGGGCAGCACCTGCTTGGGGAGCCATTTCCTACTTGCTCTCCCAGCTTGTGTCCCACATCGACCCCAGGTTTGCACTTGAAGATTGTCATGGCTTTTCTAGTTGCCCCCCAAAGCCTCATGCAGTCATGTGGAGGTTCTGGAGTTTGTGATGGATTCTTGATCCAGTGCTGAGATTATAGGTGTGAGTGCCCTGGAGCAGATGCTCTGCATTACCATGTAGAGGGGAGGGAGGCCGGCTAGCTGCCTGAGTACTGCCACCCCCTTCCCCCTCTCCTGCTCTTTGCTGCCACCCTGAACAGCTGCTCTGTGCCATGTGCCGCTCTGCCTTGGAGCCAGCCAAGTATAGACTGAAAATTCCACTGACTGTGACTGACTAAACCTTTCCTTCTTTCATTTTCAGCGTCAGGTATTTGTTCCAGCAACAAGAGAAGAGTAACCAAGACAAAGGAGCACAGAGGGCTGTGGCACTGACCCCACAGGACGGGGCCCCTTCCTGCCTGCGACCTCAGGGACTGCAGCTGACAGAAGGCAGCCCCCTGCTGATCTGGGCAGCCTGCTGTGGTGACACCCACGGGCTGGAGGTGACACACCCAGAGCCTTCCCTGGCTGCATGGTGCATCTGAGAGGCGGCCCTGGCCAGGCTTCCAGGTGGCCTGTGGTGGTGTCAAGATCCAGTGCCCCTACCTGTGACCCACCCTGAAGGCCCTGAACTCTAGCGAGTGGACAAAAGCAGTCGCTCACCCAGGACTCAGGGAGGAGCCCTGAACCTTTTATTCATGGCAGAGCACGGAGCTGTACATTCACAGCCTCAGCAGACCTGGGAGGCTGCAGCCAGGGCCAGCACAGGCGCGCACCATCCCACATGGCTCAGGGCGCAGTACATTCATGGAGACAAGGTGCGGCTGTCAGAAAGGGGCCAGGATGTGGCTCACATAGCCTTGGGACTCGGGCGGCACAGCTGGCACTGCTCCTACAGCTAGTCCCACCCTAGCCTGCTCTCTGGGGACTCTGAGCCAGTACAGGTCCATAGAGACGGGTCAGCCCCACATCTCTGGGTGGCTTCACATTTTCAGTAGAGGGAGAGCCTCACGGGGGTGCAGTTATCACAAGGCCATGGGTCCTGCTCTGCTCCCCCCAGGGAGTCAGGGTGCCTTTGGGAGGGTCTTAGAACAGGGGGCAAGAGATTCACACAGGAACACACACAGCAGCCATGCCCCACAACTGGGAGACGGAACAGCAAGTGCCCTTGGCTACGCATGGCTCACGTCCATCTGGAGCCATGGCCCAGGCCCGCCTTCCATGCTGTGATAGATCTGCTGAGGGGCTCAGGCAGCTGGGCTCCTGCAGAACAGGGTCAGGTCCAGACGAGGTGTGTGGGGATGGCTGGGGACACAGCTTGCGACTGGGGCCCAGCTGCTATCACGCTATACTCTTCCGTCTGTTCAGGGTGTCAATGTAGTGGAAAATGGCCCCCAGAGCCCAGCTGGTCTCCACATTGTCAATTTTCCGAGTCAGCTTGAGAAGACAAAGGGAGGGGTGGAGAGGACTGTTATGCTCCAGAGTGGAGGCCGGGCCTAGCCGAATGATGAGGAGCAGCTCAGGGTTGTCAGAGATGGTGTTACCAGGGCCCACTTTCCCATCCTCCACCAGAAAGGCAGGACACTGAGCCCTGAGGTGGACCCACCTTTAGCACTTTGTCCCCAGGGAAGCCAAACTCGCGGAGTAGCAGGCTGACATAAATCAGGTCCATGCAGAGGAAGGGGCTGCGGTGTGGTTGGGCACCCAGCGTCCGGCACACTGGGGATGCCAGTTCCAGTCAGTTCATGGGCTGAAACCCAACTCCCTAGCCTTGGGTACCTGCGTGGCTCCTCCCTCTCCCAGGACCCAGAGAGGCTTGCAGGCCTGTCCTGCTCAGTGAACAACAGCATCTCCCAGGCCAGGCCAGGCCCTGTGAGTGACCTGCCTCCTTCACCATGGCCAGCTGAGAGCAGCTTGCCTATACTAACTACCTCAGAGGGGCAAAGCCACACATGGGTACCTGGGGTCCAGGGTGGAGGCACGGAAAGCTTAAGGAAGGTGCTCTGGGGCACAGCAAGAAGCGGTGCTGCTGGTGGAGGAGCCAGCACAGCCCAACGCTGAGCTCTGCTCGGCCATGAGGAGCCGCACCTGGCAGGTGGGCCGGGGGTGAGACTGGCCAACATCAAAGGTGGGTGAGGGGCACCAGGCAAACTGGCTCAACATGGGGCCCGTTGTATTACCCCACAGCCAGGGTTCTGCATGCAGGCCCTGCCTCCTCTGCTTGGGGACCATCATGAATATGCTGGGACATCTCAGGAAGTCACTTTTGGGCACCCAGGCATGAGGAACCAGCACAGGAAGGACAACACACTCTGAAGGGCAGACCGGGTGTGGTGCCCTCCGAGACCCTGAGCAGGTTCACTGTACCTCGTACACCTTTGCTTCCTCCTCTGGGTGACAGAGTTGGGGGCTGGGCCCAGGGCCTCTGGGCCAGTGCCTGTCATAGCCCCAAGGGTGACCCCAGCCCCAGACCCCACACCTCACTCACTGTACTTAGCAGCCATCTCGAAGTCCTCAACTGTGACACTGCCTCCCTTCTCTGCATCTGTGGGACAAGACACATGACACAGCTGTGGTCTGGTGCAGCCTCGAGCTGGGCTGGGCCCCAGATGGACAGGGCTGCTCTTCCTCATGGTACTGGGGATCAACCAGGGACCAAAGCCAGACCCTAGTCCTGAGCATGGTTTCTTTTTCCTGTAGTGCTGCGGGGGGGACCTATGGCCTAGTAGAAGCTAGACAAGCACTCTGGCACTGAGCTATGTCTCCAGCCCTTTCCATTTTATTTTTACTTACTTATTTTTGGTTTTTAGAGACAGGCTCTTGCTAAGTTTCCCAAGTGGCCTCTAACTCATTCCCTCCTGCCTCTGCCTGCAGAGAAGCCAGGACTATTGGTGGGCACCAACATGCTACTTGGCTAGCATTTTTTTTTTTTTTTTTTTTTTTTGTGGAACCAGGGATTGAACTCAGGCCCTTGCGCTTGCCAGGGAAGCGCTTATTCCACTGAGCCATCTCCCCGGCCCCCCCCCCTTTTTTTTTTTTTTTTGAGACAAGTTCTCAATATGTGGCACAGGCTGGCCTTGAACTCATGGAGATCCTTCCGCCTCAGCTTCCTAGCTGGGGTTACAGATGTGTATCCCTAACTGTCTTGGCTAGCATTCCTTAACCGTGGAGAGGAAAAAAATTCTTTAAGACAGTGAGAGCAATCTGACCCGCTGGTATTACGAGCAGGTGCGTGCCTATCTCAGGAGGGTACCAGGTGCTGAGCCCCGGCCCATGCTGCTCTTTGGAGGCAAGCATAACTCTGGTAGGCAGCTGTAGTGGCTTTTCTGAACAACTGTTCCCCTGGTGGGCATAGCAGGCCTGGCAGGCCCTGCTCAGGCCCAGCAGGCTGCGCCAACCCAAGCCTAGCCAGGCCCAGGTAGCCCCTGCATGGTGGCCATGTAGCCTGAGAGGGCACATCCACCTCTTCATGAGAGGCCTCCTCACAGCCAGCAAATGCTTTCTGATATTCTCAACTTAAACATTCTAGACCCCACTCCTATAATGCCTCCGACTCCCGAACAGTAGCCATATAGCATGAAACCCCAATCCCCTCTCCATCAGGCTTGGCTTCTGCACTGAGGAGTCCTGGTGAGAAGACAGGGCTGCCTGAGTCATCTTTTTTTAGGAGACATGGTCTCACATGCAGTTTGGGCTAGCCTTGTGCTCACTTTTGTAGTCCCCAGGCTAGTCCTGAGCTTGCAGAGATCCTCCTGGCTCAGTCTCCCGAGTGCTGGGATTACATACGTGTACCATTACACCTAGTTCCAGGGCCACACAGTGGGCACCTGTGTCTGGGGCCCAGATGGCACGTCTGGGCGCCCAGGGCCATGACAGCACGGCATGTGGGGCTGGGGATGGAACTCAGGTCCTTGTGCTTGCCAGGTAGGTGCTTATGCCTCTGCGCTATCTCTCCAGCCCCCTGCCTGAGTCATCTTGGCCAGACCTGCCTTCCAGTGGGAGGAGGCAGACCCAAGTCTCAGGGATCCACGTCTCAGATCCACGTCTCAGGGATACGGCACTGCCACAGTAGCACCAGGAGTGAACGTGTCTCTGGAAAGGGGGTTCAGCATGCAAACACGAGGGTACCTGTCTCTACTCCACCACTTGCTTGCCACCTGTCCACCACAGCCCTGGCTTGGGCCCCACCAGCCACCCTCACCGATGAGACCCACACTGGCCGCCAGGTCATAGTAGTAGGAGAAGGCATAGAAGTCCACATGTCCCGCCTCTTCTGCTCTGTGCACCTTGTTTCGGAGGACTTCAGACACCCTGCTGGCACATGGCTCATGGAGGCGCCCTGCAGGAGGAGAGCATGTGGCTGACACTGGTGGACCGTTGCCACAGACCCACTATTCTTGGGGCTTCCAGAGCCAGGGCGCCTGTGAGCAGCTGGTGGGGTCTAGGGGAAACCAGGCCGAAGCAGACGACAGTGGCCACCCCAGTGGGCATGCTGCTTCCTCCTGGGTCATAGAGACCAGCAGACACGGGCCCGGAGGTTAGCAGACTGCAGCAGCCAGGCAACTGCTGTAGATACCTGATTGTAGCTCTGCCCAGCTCACCAGTCTCTCCTTGCCATGGTGCCCAGGCCAGTGCCACCTGGCGGGATCCTAGCATCACCTCCCACTACCTTAGGCCTGGCACAGGCTGCTCTGGCCCTGGGGAAGCTGGGCGGCTGGTTCTGCCCATCAATGCCTGGCTACAGTAGTCACCCACAGGTTCCCTCCTCCAGGGTGACACCTCAGCCCCTCAGTGCCTTCCCTGTACCTCCTCCCATGGGCTGCTGGCCCTCCAAGACCCTCAGTCAGAGGGAGCCACCTGGTCCCTGGAGGCAGAACACCCAGGCCATGTCCAGCCTGTGTACCACACTTTGAGCTTTCTCTGGGGAGGAACCTGGAGGGGCATGTGGGTGGCAGGCAGCAGCCGTGCAGGAGCGGTGGTGCCCTTCCTGCTGCAGTTCGGCCATGGCTGTGGGCCCTGCGGTGCCAGGTGCTCAGATGCCCAAGGCCTATGAGGGAGGTACGGGCAGCAGCTCCAGCTGGGGCTCTGAACAGCAAGTATGGGCCTGTCTGTATGTGGAAAGGCATGAGGCGGCTGGGTTGCGGTGTGACATTCATGGGCCACAGATGGGCAATGACCCAGGTACCTGACTTCTGTCCTGAGATCCTGTACGTTATTTCTGCGTGCTCCCACTCGCCTCTGAACCCAGGAGACAGACAAGGGCTGACCAACTCCTTCCCGTCTTTGGCTAAAAGAGAGAAAAAAATGAAAGGAAGAAAGGAGGGTGGAAACCCAGGGTGCCGCCATCAGCCAGGGTCCTCGGGGAGCTCAGAGGGGTTGTAGCAGAGAATGAAAGTGCCAGCTGTGAAGACACAGATTCTCTGCTGGGGTGACAGAGGGGACCTGACTCGGGATGGCCCAGGCAGCTGGGAGAGGAAGCCTCCTACTCTGGAGGCTCTGCAGCCTCCTCCGCCTGGAAACACTGCCACGTGATGGTTCTCAGCTCATGTCCCGAGGGGTGACTCTATGGGGGTGTCATTACCCAGCTTTACAGATGGCTGTGGTTGTGAGGGACTAGTGAATTGGTGGCCGGGGTACTCCAGTGCCACCAGATGCCACCATACTACAAACTGACCCTGTGCTGCTTACAGAACCAGAGCAGGGGCCACAGTGTTGCTGCTGACCCCGCTGGCCAGGTCTGTGCTGGAAGTGGATGAAGGCCAGGCTGGTGCACCACAGCTGCATGGGGGGGAGGGCAGGTGCCCCTTCTCCCTGCTAACATGTCCCCGCTGTACCCCGAGGAACCAGCAGGCAGACGCTACCAGGCCTTGAAGGAGCTGAACACCATATAAGAGGAATGCACATGCCAGGTGAGTGCCCCACAGCAGCAGCACAGCAGCCATGGAGGGGCCGGAGGGCAGTGGCTGTGGGGACACGCTGGGCCCTGGGCACCTCACACAAGCTGTCCAGACCTGTCAGTGCCCGCAGGAAAGCCAGCCCAGGCCAGGCATGGGGAGTGCGCACCAGGCGTCAGCCCAGTGGGGGGCACTAAGGGCCTGGGGTGAGGCCCCGTTCCAGGGAACTCCCGGCTCCTTCCGTTTATGCCCAGGAGAGGCTGAGCCTGTTCTGTGACTTTCACAGCAAAGATGAGGACAGAGGGGGATCTCACAAGGTCACCACCTCACGACCCTCCTGCTGCCAGGACCAGGGTCTTTTCAGGTTGCTATGCTAATTTAAGTTCCCCGGTGGTCCATGTGAAACGCCTGGGCCCCACTTGTGGTGCTCCTGGGAAGCGAGGCCAGAGCAAGGAAGCTGACTGCCAGGCAATGCCCTCTGCTGCATGCCGTCTGGTGCCCACCACAGTCCCTAAGCAACAGGGCCAACAGGCCATGGGTGGGAACTGCCAGAGCTGGGCACTGAAACAAGACTTTCCTCCTTGTGAGCTGACAGCTCAGGGGTTCTGTCACAGTGACAGGCAGGTGGCTCCCAAGGTAGCAGGTGATTGCATAGTTACTCAGGTTCCTTTAAGGTCTGTTTCAGAAGTGATTGCATTAATGTCTCTTTAAAAGAACTAAGAATGTACAAGATATGATAAAAAATATGGTAAATGTATACAATTAAAATTTAAAAAAATAAAATTTTTTATTACAGTAGAGACACAACCACTCCCTCCCTCTGGATCCTCCCCCTTGTCCCCCTGGCTTCGAACACACTCATCCCCTCATCCCTGCCACTTTGCTGGCCTTTCTTGCTTTCTTTCTTGCCTGCCTGCCTGCCTGCCTTTCTCTCTCTCTCTCTCTCTCTCTCTCTCTCTCTCTCTCTCTCTTTCTTTTGGACTTTCTGAGACAAGGTCTCACTGTGCAGTTCAGGTTGGCCTTGAGCTCCCATTGTAGCCCAGGCTGGTGTCGAACTCCCAGTGATCCTCCTGCCTTAGCCTCCCTAGTGCTGGGATTACAGGCACGCGCCACAATGCCTGGCTTGGCTGCTCTGATGTCCCGAATCTGCTCAAATGTTCAGCTTTTATGGTCCTTTGACTAAGCCAGAAGTTGCATGGTGCTAGATTCAGTGAATGTTTTTCTGCGCCTGCCTTTCTATTGGGCAGCATTTGACAGCAGCATTCACAGTATTCTTTGATCGCACTTCATAAGGACACTCAGGAAAGAGGACGGCAGAGCTGCTTCGGAAAGAGGCAAGGGCAACGGGCCATGTGTGCTCAAAGGGAGGGGGGTATTCTGAAAGGGAGTGGTAGCACTACATCTGTTTTTTTTTTGTTTTTTTTTTTTTGGTGGAACCAGGTATTGACTTCAGGCCCTTGTGCTTACCAGCCAAGCACTTATTCTACTGATCTATCTCCTTGGCGCCCTAGAACTGCATCTTTTTTTGTTTTTTGGGGTTTTTTTTTGGTGGAACCGGGGATTGAACTCAGGCCCTTGTGCTTGCCAGGGAAGCACTTAGTCCACTGAGCCATCTCCCCGGCCCCTAGCGCTGCATCTTTATGTAATACTTATTTAAAATTTAGCTGGGCATGGTGGCCCATGCCTGTAATTCCAGCACTCAGGAGGCTGAGGAAGGAGGATTACTGTGAGTTCAAGACCAGGCTGGGCTACAAAGTGAGCTCAAGAGGGGGCTTGCGGGTTAGCTCAGTTGTTTAAGTGCCTGCTTGGGCAAACACCATCAGGTGCAATAGACTGTGGTTCGATCCCCAGCTCCACATACAGCAGCCTGAGCCATCCAAAAAAAAAATCCTTCTCAACTTTAGGGCTGGCCAAATAGCTCAGTGGATTAAAGCACCTGAAAACAGGTGAAGGAGCCAGGGGTGCACTGAGACCGTAATTGAGACTGGGTGTGGTGGTGTGCCCCTGTAATCCCAGCTCCTGAGAGGCTGTAAACAGGCGGATCACTAGGAGTACGATCTAGTAGTGAGATCCTGAACACCCTGTAGACCCTTCCCTAAAATACAAAAAATAAACAAACAAACAAACAAACAAAACCAAAAACCAAAACTCAAAGTGAGCTCCAGGCCAATCTGAACTTAATAATGAAACCCTGTCTCAAAAAGCCAATAAAATAAAATTTAAATGTTGCCAGGCCTGGTGGTATACATCTCTCCTGGGCCCACCCCCCACCACAGCAAGTGAGGACAGAGGGCAGGCGGCTCCCTCTCACCAAGGGCGGGCAGAGCCCCGAGCAGCACACTCCACTCACCGGGTCTTCCCTCCACTCCACCGAGGATTGCCAGTCGTGCCGACATCAGTCCCAGCCCCAGGTAGCTGTGGAGACAACCCCTGCCAGGGTGAGGCCCAGGAATGACTGGGTCCCATCTACTCTGTAAGGTGGCACCATCCCAGGAGGAGGTAGCTACAGCTTTTCTACTCCTTCGAGGAGTCTGAGGCATTGTGGGACTTCACTGAATAGCTGATGCAGGAGCTGGGACACTGCCAGGACTCCAGTTTTCATGGGGTACATGTGGAGTGGACCAGAGATGTCGTGTGGTAGGTGCTGGCTCTTAAGGATCCGGCATGTGCCGCACTCACCCATCTCTCCTAAGCCTCCTTCAAAGCGTAACAGGGAGGTGGTGGCGGGGGCTCCCAGGACTTGGGTAGGCCTGGATGTGGGCAGTGAAGGAGGCTGGAGCCTGGGCACCAGGGGGTTGTGACTTCCCTGACCTTGGAAACCAACCTGTGGGAATAGAGCCTGTAGGTCCTATTAAACATCTGCAGTGATGTCAGATGGCCAGGCGGGGAGGCCTCCAGGGTACCCTGCAGAAACATCAGATTACATGCCCTGGGTCACTTGGAAGAAAAGGGACATTCAGACAGCCAGTTTCAGAGCTTGCTTTTAGTCCCATGCTGTGGAACTACAAGGAGCCAGCCAAGAAAGAGGAAGCACCCAGGCCACTCCCTCCCCAGCAGTGCTGATCCAGCCTGGGTAGGGTTCACCAGGGTCATCAGGCTCCATCCCACTGACACAACCATGAGAAGCAAGGGCAGTGAAGGGAGAGTACTCCCTCTCCTTGGGGACCTCCCCCCAGGACAGCGAGGGCTTCCTGGAACCTCGCAGTGTACAGGGCACCTGTTTATTATCGGTTCATCACCCCACTAAAGACCAGACCAGACTCCATTTCAGCTTGTTTCCCAGGCAGGAGCCACCCATGGGTGCCACCCTCTGTCCATGGCCCCAGTTACCTGGGCCCGAGGAAGGAAGGTGATCTGAGTGGACCCACCACCCAGATCCAGCATGCCCACGCTGCTCCTGCCTGGGCCTCGCAAGCTACCTGGATGGCAGGAAGACAACACTGTCAGGGCGGAGGGAGGACAGGAAGGCAGAGGCAGCGAAGAACCACCTTCAGTGGACAGAATGCCAAGGCAGAGCAGTGGCTCCGCTGCTTAGACATGTTTGCGGAAAGGTGCCCAATACCTACGGATAAAGATCAGGTAGCATCATCTGTGGCTTTAACGTGGACGTGGGCAGCATGACATGAACTGAGGTGATGGACTGGCCCTGCACAACAGGGGGAGGCCACAGCTTTCCCAGCTCCATCTCCCCAGAAACACTGAGGCAGGGGTTCCCCACCCAACTGGTCAATCTTTCTCCACCCCATGAAGGGCAGATCCTGCTGGAAACATGCTCATATCCTACATCACATGCAGCTTTCCCCAATTCTAATGAAGGGACACATGCTGAGAATAATCTTTGAAAGGGGCTCTTGGCCAATTTCTGAGAATAGGCATCTGCGCTGGGTATCTGGAGAGCTGAGTGTCCTCAGACATGAGAGGAGGAGTGAAGCAGCCCAGGCAGGGGACCCCTCCATGTCCTCCCGTGAGCCTTCCTCTGGGCTAAGCCCTGAGGACTGTAGACAGGAGGGCCGTGGCAGGCCGAGTGACACGCACCTGTTAGGAAGTTGATGGTGATCCACGCAGAGACACCTGCAAGAGTGGCGCAGGAGGGCCCTCATCACCCGAGACCGTGCACACAGTTCCCAGGACGCGTGTCTCTCCCTCCAGGCCTCCCTGACTCCCAGCCTCCAGGCCACCCAGGGAAGTGCTGTGCAGGCACAACACGAGGCTTCCCCCAGACTGTTCTGGAAGATGCCACACTAAAACCTGAACACATCGCTGGGGTGTGTCTCCCTGAAGTTCTTCGTCCCAGCATCCTCCTCTAGAAGAGGAAGGAAGAGAACCTATACTTCCTCTGCCCCATACAAACCTACTCTTAAGGTTGTAATTAAAAGCAGGGCCAGCAAGGAACCCAGTTGGGGTTCTATGCGCTCTGCAAGTGCAATGCTCCCAGAAACTTCATCTGCGCTGGGTCTGCAGCTAGCCCAGATGAGAATCTGGCCTAATGTTGGCACTGCTCTGGGACACCTGGACTGGGAACAGCCTGCAAGTCCCATCATCCACGTCCAACTGAGGCAGGAGCCCTGTGCATGGCTCCAAGCAGCAGCGGTGGGTCAGCAGCACATGAGGCATCTCCAGGGACATGCGTGGTGGTGCGCCACTCTACCTTCATCGGTTCCGTTCATGATGGAAACACAGTCATCTCCTACCAGGAAAGGTGACGCCTTAAACACCTCCTTCACCTGTAGGCAGAGAGATGGCTTCATCCTCTGCAATGGGAGGCCAGTGGTTTCCAGGCAGCAGAGCACTGAGGAGCCACCTGCTCCCAGTGACAGTGTCCGCTCTCTTCTTACTTGAGTCAGGCCACTCCCAGAGGCCTCCTGGGCTACCCAGGGCTAGCTCAGGCCCACCCAACCCTAGAGATGCTCTGGGCCACATTGGGGAGTGCAGGGGCTGGGGAGCAGGCTGTGCCGGGGAGCTGCCCGGCTCGGGGAGGTGAGATGAAGGGTGAGGAACGCCACAGCAGAGCCAAGCGTGGGGATCTCATAGGTGCTGCTCTGGGGACACGGGCAGTGTGCCCTGGCACCCAGAAACTTCAGTACTCCTGCTCTACCCCAAGTCTCATGCCCCAGCAAGGGACTCTAGGGGCAAGCTGTTCTCTCACAAGAGAGCAGAGGAGGAGCCTCAAAGAGGGACACAAGGACTCTAAGAGGATAGGGTAGAGCCTTTTGGGCAGCCAATCCTGTCCCCGCCCTAAGATAGAATCTCACCCCAGGCTGGCTTCGAACTTGGGTGGTCCTGTCTCAGCCTCCTGCGTGCTGGGATTATAGGCATGCCTACCATGCCTGGCCCTGGATGGCCATACATGAACGTCTGACAGAAGCCAGGGCAGCTCAGTGTCCACAGCCCTCCACCTCACTGAGTCCCAGGGAGGCTGCCCTTTGGAAGCACAGGCACTTTTGAAGAACGGAGCAGGCGCACAGGAGCCCGGTGCTGCGCCCACCTTCTGCAACAGCTTCTGAGCTTTCTCTCCAGGTAGCAGGCGCAAGCCAGCTGTGGCTTTGAGAACCAGCGGGGTGGCCTTCCAGAAGTCAAACGGAATGTCCTGCTTAGCAACATCCAGCAGCTCCTGGATCCCTTGAGCACTCTGCAGACATTGTGACAGCAAAGCAGGGTCTGTCACACCCAGCATCTGGGGTCACAATGCTACCCCACCCTTTGGATTGATTTGTCTTTTTGAGACAGGATTTCACTGTAGTTCAGGCTGGCCTTGAACATACTTTGTAGCCCAGGTTGGCCTCAAACTTGCAGTGATCCTCCTGCCTCAGTCTCCTGAGTGTGGGGATTACTGCCCTTTGGGTTTATAACATGATTTTCTTGTCATTCACAAAATTAGCAGAGGAAAGGGACAGTGCAGGGGGCAGAGGGACCACATAAATTCTGGGCACAGAATGCAGCAGGATGAGGGCAGGTGACAGCCTTGAGGCTGAGCCTGTCCTTTATAGCAGCTTTCTCACTTTCTTAGGTGACAGTCCCCTGCTGTCACGGGGCCCACCTGGGCAACCTGACAGGTCTGGGCTCCCTGACCCCACGAGGCTGCTATAACCAGCAGTTTAGGTCCCATATTGAACTCCATCCCCTGAGCAACTGGGCTGAGGAACCATGTCACTGCCCGGTACTGGCAGGCTGATGTCAGTGCTGACATGGAGTGGAGACAGCCCAGGGGAGTAAGGATTCTGAACAGCAGTGCCTAGGATGGAACCCATGGTCTCACCACGTGAGGCAAGAGCTCTAGCTCTGAGCTGCACTTCTAGCCCCCAGAACGCAGTACCTTCTCACTTCACTTAGGTTTTAGGGTTTCTTCAATCAAAGCACCCCCAGCAAAAACTAAAGTTAAACATATACTACGGGGCTGAGAGTGTAATCAGGGGTATAGCACTTGCTCAGCATGTATAAGGTACTAGGTTGCACTCTCAGCATGTTTAAAAAAAAAAAAAAAAAGAGAAGAGTACTATGAAAACCACAGGACTAGCAAAAAAAATTTAAGCTTCCCAGTAATACATGCTGTAGGTTTGCAGTGTTGATGCTTCTGAGCTGCGCTGAGTCTCTGGTGGTACGGAGCTTGTGTGAAGGGGCCAGGAGGCTGGAGCAGACCCGCTCTCCCCGCACCCCAGCCACACTCTAGGCCTCGCGCCCCAGGCAGCACCACAGGGCCGCTTTCCTCTGCCTACTATACCCAAAGAGAAGGAGCTGGCTTTAACCAACCACACAGGGAGAAGGTGCTGAGGCTGCAGCACAGGCTTTTACCTTCTCGACATCATCAGCGTAAGCAGAAAGCCCTGGCTTCAGCGCTCTGAAGGTCTCGTGGGTCAAGGTGGGAGTCTCTAAAGGAAAAGAAAATACTTTTTGAAAGGTTCATCTTCTGGCTTATACCCAGGTGCTCTCCCAGAGCCCCATGCAGGTATCAGGGGCGAGGGCTGTGGCTGGATCTCGCTGTGGGAAGCTGGGGTGAAGGGCGTGTGGTGACTCCATCAGTCCACGGGTTACCTTGGCATGGCTCTGGCTGCGGTGCTACCTGCCCTCAGGGGAATACAGAGGGACGGATAGAAGCTGCTGGTGGTGCTGCTGCACGCGGCTGCTGGTCTTCTGCTTTGCGGGGCCCTTGGCTGCACTGCCCTGCCTGAGAGCCAGCAGACTACGGATTGAAACCCCTACAAACTGTGAGCCAGAGAATCCTCCCCTCTCTTAACTTTGGGGGGGGGGGGTTCAGGTATTCATCTCAGTAATGAGAAAAGTAACTAAGGCAGTTGATCTAGGAAATTAATGCAAACGTATGAAAATACACAACTGTGACGAGCCAGATTCTTTTGGGTTCCAGGGTCTTTGCACTGAACTGTGTCTTCAGCCCTTTTTAATTTTCTGAGGCAGGATATTGCTAAATTTCTTAGATGGGATTAAAAATTACAACCTCCTGCCTGCCTCATCTTCCCAGATGCTGAGATATAGGCACATGCCACCACGCCCAGGTAGACAGACTTTTTTTTTTTTTTTTTTTTGGCGGAACCAGGGATTGAACTCAGGCCCTTGCACTTGCCAGGGAAGTGCTTATTCCACTGAGCCATCTTCCCAGCCCAGACAGACTTTTTAAAGTGGCCATATGGTCTAATCTCAGAATGCCAGGGCCCTTTGACCCTTCTTGCCTACATTTGCCGCCTTATTTTTTTTTTTCCTGCTGCACTATGTGGCCAGCCCTGAGTCACACAGCCTTTTTTTTTTTTTTTGTATTTTTGTATTTTAGGGAATAGCTTGTCTACAAGGTGTTCAGGATCTTACTACTAGATCGGACTTGTAGAGATCTGCCTGTTTACAGCCTCCCCAGAGCTGGGATTACAGGCACATGCCCCCATGCCCAGCCTCAACTGCTATCTATCTCAGCATGCCCTGGGGGCGGGGCTGGCACAGCAGGACCTGGCCCCTGGCCCCTGGCCCCTGCGCCTGCTTGCAGGCACTTTAATCCACTGAGCTATTTGGCCAGCCCTGCCTCTTTAGTTTAGCTGAACAAGATTAGAGATCCCTCATGTTTGGGCCAGAGCTTTGCTTTAACATATGGGGTGCGGCTCAGTACAAGGCTCTCCATTGGATCCTCAGTGCTACTCCCTTCAAAGAGACAGGGTCTCCCTGTGTAGTTCAGGTGGACCTTGAACTCACTATGTGGCCCAGGCTGGCTTCAAATTCATGGCAACTGTCCTGCCTCAGCCTCCTGAGTGTTAGGATTACAGATGTGCACCACCACCACTTTTGATAGAGATTTTATAGGTACATTATCTTAAGTAAAGCTTTTTTTTTTTCTCCCCAAAAGCAAGCTTCAGTCAAATGTAATGAAATTAGAAATAAAACATGTCATGATGATTTTAGAGAGGTACCAGAAGTGTCTGGTGGCAGTTGGCAGATGCCAGCGTAGCGGCTGTGCACAGCCATCTAGGGCCTGAGAGGGTGTGCTGCTCCTCTCACCACAGAGGGGGAAACAGCCAGGTCAAGGGCACTGTAGAGAGCAAACCTCTGGGGAGACAGGAGAGGCGGTCACCGAGGGCTCTGTGCAGGAGAAGCCTGCACTTGACAAGACCCCTGGCCTCTGTCATGGTCCTGGCCACCTGCCTTTCTAGTGATTGTGGGGAGAAGACAGGACACCAATGTCCTCTAGGCACTCAGGGGCTCCCTGTGGTGTCTCTCCTTGCTGAGATCATTGGGGCTGCTGATGACTGTAGGTATATGACCACCCACACTAGCTCAGCATCTCTTGCAGCCACTCCATCTATCTACATTTGTCTTTCCATCTATACTTCCTTTCCTATACCCCCCATCAGTTTTTAGCCATTGACAGCAGACCTGGGGCCCTGAGCCAAGCGCTCCCCACTGAGACCCCCCAGCCCTTGGTAGCGGCACCTTGACCAGGTGCCAGGGGAGTCCAGGCAGGGCTCAGCCCACACCATCTTCAATGGGAGGGGACACTGGAGGCTCTGGGAGAGGGGAGAGGGCAGACCCCCTGTGTGTGGGCTCAGAGGGGCTTGTGGTCAGGCCAGGTACCTCCAGGTGGTCGGGCAAACTGGAACACATGCACACGGGTGCCAGTACTCCCAGCATCAAACATGATTCCATAGAAGACCTCATGAGCATGAGTGGCCGACCCCGCGGAGACATGGGCTGCCCCGGTAATGGAGGAGAACGCCTGGGGAGCAGAGGCCCGGTGCCACTTGATGTAGGCGACGTAGATGAACAGGCCCACGCACAGCCCCAGCGGGTATACCACTTTTGTCATCCGCAGGGTCCCATGGTTGGGTATTTTTCTCATGTCTTAGTCTGCCCAGGACTGCCACAGCTGCTGCAGGGAAGGAGGGAAGACTGTTAGGCTGAAAGGTTCCAGTGTGTGCCCAAAGTCACAGGGTCCAGGGACAAAACATTCAACCAGAAAGTGGACTGGACTTCTCTTGGGTCGGAGGCCTCATTCCATCCTGCACGTAACCCTGGAAGGAGTGGTTAGAGATGAGGATTAAAATACTAGATAAATTGCCCAAACTCTCAGCCCAAACTGGCAAGGATTTATTTGATAGGACACCAAACCACAGGTAGCTGGCACAAAAAAGGCAATGGCAGCATTAAAACAAGCTAAAAACCTTTTGCACTACATAGGAAACAACCAACAAATGAAAAGACTACTTACAGAATGGAAGAAAACATTTTCAAACAATTTATCTGATCTGGTAAGGAGTAAATATTCATAAATAACTCAAATTCAATAATATCAAACTATAACCTGGTTAAAAAAAATAGGCGAAAGTATGAAGTCTTGGGTTCAATCCTCAGGACCCATAAAAGAAGGAAATCTATTTCTCCAAGGATGTGCAGATGGCCAAGAAACATGTGAAGAGATGCCTCAACATCATTACTCACTAAGGAGACACAAAAAACCCTGCAACGTGGTATCACTCATACCCATTACCAAAAGCAGCACCCCCCGCCCCCCGAGGATAACATGCTAAGGATATGGAAAAATGAACCCTTGTGCTCTGCTGGTGGGAATGTAAAATGGTGCAGCCACTATGGAAAACAGTGTGTGGCTTCCTCCAAAAATAAAAAAAACATTGTAGGTTTTTTTGTGTTTCCCTAGTGAGTATATCCAAAGGCAGTGAAATAGGATTTCTAAGGCCTATGTACACTCCGATTCACTGAAGCACTGTTTGTAACATTCTAGAGGTAGAGCAACCTGGATGTCCCAAGTCACACGGATAAGAACACATGGTCTATTCATACAATGGGACACTATCTGGTCTTAAAGAGAAAGGGGCTAGGGATGGAGCTCAGTGGTAGAGCATACATAAGGCCCTGGTGTCAAAAAAAGTAAGATGAAAATTAAAAGGAAACTGACATAGGTTACAACACGAAGCTGGAAGGTGTTCCATTTCATGAAATGAGCCAGCCCCAAAAGGACCCCAGGGCAGGCAGGGTTCCCCAGAGCAGAGCCCCTGGAGCAGAGGCACCAGGGCCGAGTCGGGAGGCGGGAGGACTGCACGATCTCCTCCAGGTCGCAGAGTGCGGGTGTGCATGGTGGTGACTTTCACACAGCAACTGTACACGCTGCACCCAAACCCACGCACTCGGAAGCATCTGAGATGGTGAACTTTATGTCAGTATGTTTTACTGAGATGGGGTGGGGAGCACAGACAACTCCTCCTGGGGTGGAGGACAAAGGCAGCGTGGGCAGCCTGCAGCAGGGAGGCTGCGGGTCCCTCAAACTAACTTTTTTTTTTTTTGGTCTTTTTGAGACAAAGTCTTGTCATGGTCTTGAACTCACAGTGATCCTCCTGCCTCAGTCACCCAAGGGTGTACCACCATGCCCAGTGCAAACTCCTAAGGTCCCACTTGGCCTCAGCCTCACCTCAAAGACCCTACTCAGGCTCTTCTCACCTTAAGTGATTTTTTTTTTTTTCTTAATTGCTTGCTTTTAGCATCCTGCTCTTTGGTCCTTCCTCCACATCCATTGGTGCCCTGGCCAGCCCTCCTTGGTCAATGACCCATAGGCTAGGCATGTGGGCTCTTTCCCCCCGGTTGGAAGGAGGGCAGGGCCATCCCCATCCCGAAATGCCAGCATCTGCCCACCTAAAGCTCTACAACCAGCCCAGCAAAACAGGAAGGAAGTGAAGGAGGCACTTTTGGTGCCTGAGCACCCAGGCGACAGCTACTGGGGAGTGCTGTGTGCAGAAGGGACAGTGAACAGGTTTCCCACATGCCAAGCCTGGTGTGACAATGGGACATCAGTCAACGACAGATCCTTTCAAGAGATGTCAGTCTGGAAAGCAGTGTCTGGGAATTATCCATATTAAAAGACTTTAGCTGAGATCAAGAGAGACACATGGTGTGGTGAATGCGTATCTCAGGGCAGCTACTGGTACCCTGCAGCTGCCTCTCTTGAAGGCTTCCCCTCCTAGCTTACCATGACCTCAATCTTTACAGATGTTCTTTAAAAGTGGGTCTGGTATTTACAGAGAAAGTGCTGAAGCACTTAACTCCAGGGATGAATGCTGAGGACACAGAGCAACCCTTAACACCTTGTAGCCATGAGAGTGCAATACAAAATCTGCTGCAGAACCAGGTTTCATCCTGCCAGTACCAGGTTAAGTACTGTGTGCAGCAGGACCAGCCTGACAGGCATCTACAGCGCTCAGGGAAGGTCGGGTCTCCATGAAATGTACCTACCCATTAAACACCCCCAATATGCCATCCCCTGTCAGGAACCCACAGGCTTCTGTCACTGCCTGCTGTTCTGTCACAGTACCTGGAATGGGTATGCCTGGGGCTATGCAGTGGCACGTGGCAGGGTGGCTGAGTCCCTGACTTCTGCCTCCAAAATGATGGTGTTCTATATCTTCACATTCCTTGGAAATACACAACAGCTTTAGACAGCTAAGCAACACCCACAGGCACTCACATTATCACTGGAGCTGTACACCAACAAGTGCAGGGTGACGTCAACTGCCCAAAGAGGAAGTCCACACAAAAACAGCCCTGCCTAAGGTGCACATTCATTTCACTCTAGAGTAGAGGGGCTCCTCACAGCCAAGACACCTGCAGGAGGGTATGCCATACTCCTGAGGGCCCTGCTGGCACTCTCCAGAGACTGGAGGAGAAAATAACTCAACCTTGGGACAGTGTTCTTTAGTGCAGTGAGGAGTGAGGCTGTAGGGAGGGGAAACCAGATAGAAAAAGGAGAGAGGTTGGGCAGGAAGTGGGTGTGGGTTCGCAAATAGAGGCATGGCTCTGGCCAGGGCTGCCTGTCAGGTGGCGCAGGAGTCAGAGGGCAGCTGCCTGTGGACCAGTGTGCTGAGGCCAGAACCTGCCCGGAACCTGCAAACTTTCTGGGAGCTGAGACGCAGGCTGGCTCCAAGAGACACCGGCTCCAATGATTCTGAGGGGTGCTGCGGAACGTGCTGGCTAGTTTCTTCCAGGTTTTCAGTGAAAGTGTAGGAAAGGCCAATGACGACAAACGACTGACACTTATGCCAAAAATGTATGTCTAAAAATAAATAAAGTAGATCAGCAAACCTACACTCCCTTCTCCCGGAAAATGTAAAAAGACTTTTCTTGGCAAAAACCCATTCCTGATCAGCCCTGTCCACACCACCTGCTCTCTCCTTTCATAGGAAGCCTGGAAGGCACTTGCAGAGCTCTCTGTAGAAACAGCTTCCTGTCTTTGGGGTTCCACACAGGGATCCGGATTCCACACAGGGATCCAGGAGACAGCAACACACACCCTATCAGCCACCTACCTGACTGTAGGGCCGGAGCAGAGACACAAGCAATTCCTGGCTTGTAGCAGTACAGTTGCCAGCTTTTCCAACAATGCACACAGTGTTAATAGAATAGCGACAACACTGTCACTTCCCCAAAACGCTACTCCTTGGCACTGTGGGCACAGGGACAGCCCCACACAGTTTCAGCATCCACCTCTTCCTAAGACGCTGAGAATCTGTCACTGTCAGTTCTGGGCCAGAGAAGCCCTGCCTCCCGGAGGATGAAGGTGTATTCCCTGCCACTGGCATCCCCACACACAGACTCAGGACAGACATCCAGAACTCCCCGCAGGGGGTGGATAACACCCTAGGGGGAGGCACCTGGCTCACTGCGACCCACCCAGCAACGCAGGCTTTCTCCCAATTCTGACCATCATCCCATGGCTTTTTTTTTTTTTTTTTTTTTTTTTTCCGGAATTGGGGATTGAACTCAGGCCCTTGCGCCTGCCAGGCAAGCACTTATTCCACTGGGCCATCTACCCAGCCCATGGCTTCTAGGGATAAAGCCTCTCTCCCTGGATCCATTTGACTGTCCCTGGTGCCCACTCCCCTTACTGTAAATGCGTCCCACGGAGCAAGTCTTCTTGCTCTGGCCTGTTCACCGCCCCCCCCCCCCCCCCCCCCCCCCCCGTCGGCTCAGACAGAAGCACCCGGTCCCCCGCGATCCTCTGTCACCTTCCCAGTCCCGAGTGCACGGTGGCGCATAAGCCATAGGGGCGCAGGACTTCTCCGCAACTGGCCCTTCATGGCACCGCGCTGGGCGGATCAGCAGCTCCAGCCAAAGGAAAAAGCGCGTGAATGAAGACGCGAGAGGCAGAAATGCCCGGAGACGGAGTCCAACGAGCTGGGAGGCCCAGCGCAGCCGCGTGGAAGTCGACCCGCGGGACCAGTTACCATGTCGTTCCGTCCCTCCCGACCTCTCCCGGGCCGCGCGCTCACCCTGCCCGGCGCCCCAGGCCTCCACCGCAGCGCACAGAGAGCTCCCAGCTGGAGGGTGCCACGGCCGCAGCTCGGCGCAGAACCCAACCACTCCACAAGCCGAGCTCCGCCCACGCGCGTGCGCGTCACTGCCCGGGCGGGGCAGCGCCGTGAGCTGCGCACGCGCAGTGTCACGTCGCTGCCTAGCGGCAGACGCGGTGCGCCTCTGCTGGGGGTCGCAGGCTGGGATTGCAAAGCCTTTGATTTCCCAATGGTCAATGTAGCTGGTCTTCTGCCCAGCTTGCCTCAGCCGTAAGCAGCTGATGAAAGATGCCTGTGTCCCTACACATCCAAATTCTCCTTTTATTTCTAAGTGGATACGTGACAAAAATAGAGCCACACCAAGCAGACAGTGTGATCAGATCGCTAGCACTCTTGCTCCATTTTCTCGTGGCTTCCAAGAAGCCGCCCAGGCTGCCAGCTCTTCTCGATTGGTCATCAAAGGTCTTGCCCGGTGGGGCTGCTCAGATGTCCTCCAAGCTGGGGGCCCAGCCCCAGGACACTCTCGCACTGGGCTGCTGCGTGACCCAGAGGTGCACTCCCACGTGGCCACTGAGGCGTGGGTGAGCTGGCCTGGCGGGAGGGCCGCCCTGTCTGTAGGGCCCTGGAATGGCACGGCCTTAGTAGGGTCTGGAATAACCGTGGGGTCTCATACTATGGTCTAGACAGGGCTTTCTGACGGGGATGCTCACCCTACAAGATGCTGGACAGTGTGTGATGAGCTGTGTCCTGAGAAACTCTTGTGAGTGGACACCTGTCTCTGGACCCTAGACTTCCCTCCAGTTACTTGCTATTACTATGTTACATGATGCTGCGGGATCCCAAGACTATGTTTGTGTACACCTGTGGGCAGGTCTATGGGAAAAATTCTCAGCAGTGGAACTGGCTATGGTAAAGGATAGATACACTTTTTTCTTCTTTTTAGTCTTGCTGTGGAGCCCAGGCTTGCCTTGAATTCGTGGCAATCCTCCTGTCTTAGCCTCTCAAGTACTGGGGTTACAGGTGTGGCCATGCCTGGCCAAGATTAGTTCTTTTGAAACACATCCTGCACAGAGGCATCTGCACCATCTTAGCACCTTCTCTTGCACACATAGAGCAGGGTGTGGGCGTCCCCATCACCATCCCAGTTCGTTGGAAGATCTTTGCCAGTCCAACACTTGCAAAGCTATATCTCAGTTTTACTTTACAAGTTTTCTGGCACTTGGGAATCCCTGTTCGTGGAACAATGCTGGCCTGGCTTCTGCCTCACTTACAGCTCCTTTATCATTTCCTCACTGTCCCTGTGTTTCACTGTACAGGTTCTAGAATGTGTCAGTTTTGCACATGTGACTTACTGCTTGGGAAGCTTCTTCACCAGGTCTTGGTAGAGTCTTTCTAATTCCTAAGGACTCAGTTTACCTGCTCCTGTTTGGTCACTTCATGTACCAAGGCCTCTCCAAAAATTTTCTGTCATTACTCATTTCCCTCAGCACAAGCACATTTGGTGACTTTCTTATGGGTGTGTTCTGCTTCCCTGATGAAACGCAAGCTCCCAGCACCGTGTCTGGACCACAGTACCTGTGTCCCTTAGCCCACCTCTGACTTCAGCTCTCCAGCTATAGTGGAGACTCTGTGCCACCTCAGAGCATCTCTTGGGGCCATTCCAGGGCTCACCTCAGGACTTCCTCTAGAGCCTCAAGGAAATGTCCCTTCCCTGGAGCAGCTGTGGAGGCCTTCTCCCAGTTACAGTGTATTATGATTTGTGTCTAGTTGTCCCCCCCAAAGCCTCATGCAGTAATGGAGTGGCTTCTGGAGTTTGTAATTGATTACTGTGGGTGTGGGTGCTGCACTTGCCCTGGGAAGGTAATTTGCATTACAATGTAAGGAGGGGAGAGAGGCTAGTTGGCTGCCTGGGCTGCTGCCACTCCCTTTGTACTCTTTCTCTTTGCCTCCACCATGAAAAGTTGCTTTTTGCCACGTGCCAGTGTGCCTTGGAGTATAAACTGAAACCTCCACCAACTGTGAGCTAAATAAACCTTTCCTTCCTTCATGTTGGGTGTTGAGTATTTGTCCCAGCAATGAGAGAAGAGTAACTGAAACAAAATTTGGTACCAGAGAAGTGGGTTCGTTTCTCTGACTACCTGATCATATGGATTACAAGCTTTTGGGAATGGCTTATGGGAAGAGATAGGAAGGGTTTGGAGATGTCGCCTATAAAAAAAGCACTGGAATAGCTTGGGTGCTCTGTATGGGATATTCTGGTCAGAGCTCAGAAGACCAGAAGGCTGACAGAAATCCTGCCTGGTAAAGACCAGGCTGGGGAGGTTTCTGCTGGGAAGAAGGACTGCATTGGTTGTTGGACTCCAGGTGATTTGTGTTCTGGCTTGGCAGAAAGTTTGTCTGAATTTTGCTCATGCCCAAAGACTTTGCCTGAGACTGAGATTAAACATGGAGGACTAATTAACCTGAAAAAGGAAATCTTTAAGCAGTTGAATATTGAAGCAGTGGCATGGCTATTGTTGGGGGCTTTTAGTCAGATTTATGTTGAGACTCAAGAACAAACAGCCCATCAGGATGATTTAAAATGTGAGTTTGACCAGAAAGAAGCTCCAGTAAAGCTGCGGAATGCAAAGACAGAGCTGAGAGGATCACCATTGTGGCAGGTCTCCTCCCTTTGCAGCCTCAGAATTGTAAAGGTCCAAGGAATTTGCCATGAGGGGAAAGCCACAGAACCCCATGTTCCATAATGGCAGTGGTGGCCACACCAGGTTCCAGAATGGTGCTGGCATGGAGAATTTATGTTTTGGAATCAGGGTCATATTGCTCATTGATATAGGCACTTGACCTCTACAACCAAGAGAGAAGAAAGCCTGGCTACTGCTCCAGCTGGCAGCACACTTTGGCACATTCAGGTGGCATTAGTTTTAGGCACTTGCTGAATGCAGGCATTCTGAGGTTAAGAAGGCTTCTACCTAGATTTCAGCAGTAGGCCTGGGAGGCCAGGCAGTATGCCCCTGAGAGGGCAGTATGTGACGTTATCAGTGAGGAGCCTATTTAGTGGAAACCCCAGAAGTTTGGAAAAGTCAGACACGTGGAAAACTGCATCTAAGGGAAACTGCAAAGAGGGAGCAAAAGCAGCCTAAGCGAGAAGTCATGGGTGCTACCACCAAGAATGCCATAGAATTGGAGCCACATGGAGCTCGCAATTTGCCACAGATTTCTTTGGATGTTCCACATGAAACTATAGGACTTGAATTTGGCCTTTCTGGATTTTGGACTTGTTTTGGTCCCAGTGCTTAGAATCCTGCTGTGTGTAATTTTATAATGGTAATGTGGACCTTGTGCCACTGAATGTTGGAAGTGTTTCACTCTTCATTTGTACAGAGGGAGTTTGCCTCAGATCTTGTAGGAGACTTGGGACTTGGACTTTTCAGCACTGCTGAAACTGTAGGACTTTGGCAACTCTTTGAGACTAAGATGCCTTTTGCACAAAGGGATATGCATGGGTCTTTAGGGGTTCAGGGGTGGAATGTTGTGGTTTGTGTCTAGTTGTCCTCCCAAAGCCTCATGTAGTCATGGGATGGGTTCTGGAGTTTGTGATTATTGTGGATGTGGGTGCTGCGCTTGCCCTGGGGCAGGTAATTTGCAATACAATGTAAAGAGGGGAGAGAGGCTAGCTAGCTGCCTGAGTTGCTGCTACTCCCTTTGCTCTTGCTCTTTGCTGCCACCATGAAAAGTTGCTCTCTGCCATGTGTCCCTCTGCCTTGGAGCCATCTGAGTATGGACTGAAACCTTCACCAACTTGAGCTAAATAAACCTTTTCTTCCTTCATTTTGGATGTTGGGTATTTGTCTCAGCCATGAGAGAAGAGTAACTGAGACACAGTGGGACAACCTTTCCTCACTTTTTCTGGAGCAACATGTGGAGAAACCACTGGTCAGGACAGCCCAGGCTCTTGCTTCTGGCCTTCCCCATGTAGGAACAGGATATGCTTCAGTACTTATGTCCCCAGAGTGTAAAACCCAAGCAAGCTGCATTGCGTCATCCCCATCAGCTGCACAGGTAGGAAGCCCACAGCTGAGACACCTGTGCTGGGGGCTTCCTGAGCAACTGGGCACCAGCCAGCAATGCCTCCCAGGGCCCCGGCATCTCTTGATCCCTAGCTGTAAGTAATAAATCTGCTGTGCAAAGATTGTTGTTGTATCTCCCCACACTCAGACAGACTGGTAACTCATGCACAGCAAATCTGCCTCACAGCAACCCTCAGCTAATAGGAAATAAACACCTCAGGCTTCCCTTCCCAGATGCAGGATTTATGCTGGGTCCTTGAGGCCCCTGTGGGTCATTTTTCCCCTTTTGTGGACCTCTTCTCCTTCTTCACATCTGCTGTTGAGGAATCAGCTCCCAAATAAACTACCTGATTCTAAGCCCTTATCTCAGGCTGCCTTTTGGGGAAACCCACATTAAGATAATATTTGAAGTGTTTGTGAAAGAATGACCAGATGAATTATAGTACCTTAGGTATTTCTCTTGTCAGCAAGATGCAGGAGACGAGTTGGACCATAGATAGTGGGCTCCAGCAGAAACACGGGCAAGCACTCCAGAAGCGTGGAGTATGACAGACCCTGCGTTTGACGGCTGAGAAAGTTTGCAAGAAGTAAATGAGTATCTAAGCTGCTTTAGTTACCCAGAGTGACCAAGAGCAGAGGAAGCCCACTGCTCATGCTGGTGCAAGCAGAGAGCTGGGCTGATGTTGATCAAGAAAAATCTTTTTCAATTTTTTTTTGGTTTTGGTGGCTGGCTCAGCATGTATTGCCAGGGATCAAGCCCTGGTCCTTGTGCTTGCTTAAGCTGATGCTTAGTCTGTTGAACTATCTTGCTGGCCCTGTTTTATAACTCACTAATGAGTATTGAATTTGTTTTGCACGTTTTTTCTTTTCTTTTCTTTTCTTCTTTCTTTCTTTCTTTTTTTTTTTTTTTTTTTTTTTTTGGTGGTACCAGGGATCCAATTCAGGACCTCACATTTGCCAGGCAAGTACTTACTCCCCTGAGCTATCTTTGTACATTTTTTTCTGTTGAGGTAAT